ACAGGGAGAACAATCAACCAGTGGAACAGAAGTTGCTCTCGAAAGTTCTGGGAGCTTCATCACTGGAAGCTTTCAAGAAGAGACTGGACTGTCATCTGTTAGAAATGGTGCAGGGTCTCCTGCTTGGGTGGGGGGGTTGGACTAGATGACCTACAAGGTCCCTTCCAACTCTGTTAACCTGTTATTATTCTGTTATTCAGAAGTTGTGGGAGCTTCATCCCTGGAAACTTTCAAGAAGAGACTGGACTGCCATCTGTCAGAAATGGTGCAGGGTCTCCTGCTTGGGCAGGGGGTTGGACTAGATGACTTACTGGATCCCTTCTAACTCTGTTAATCTCTTAAATCTTCTTTTCCCATTGATTAATTGATCGATTATTACAGTTTGCAGTTCAGTTTCGTATGGTACTACTTAAGGCAGCATGCGTGATTCCCCTCCCCCCCGCTTGCTATTTGTCCTAGCACAACAACCCTGTAAGGTGGGATGGGCTGAGCGACTGGTCCAAAATCCCCCAGCCAACTTCTGTGACTACAGGAGGACTAGAACTCGCCGTCGCCTGGACTCTGATCCAGCACCTTCACTGCTTTTCCCAGCCGGCTCTTGACTCCGCTTTGGGCTTCACCCTCTTTTCTGCTGTTTGTACCAAGGTGCCACTACGTGCCGGACAGTCGGGACCACTGTGGAGTCACCCCGTTTATGGACGCTATACAAAACGGCCACTTGGACATCGCCAGAGTGCTTCTAGAGAAACATCAGGTGCGTTTTTCTTTCCACCTGGTCCGACAGGTGTATCGGGAAGCTTTATTTAGGAGTACAGGTCGTTCTTCACTTTCCACTCAGCGGCCATTCTACGTTACGACGGCATTGGAATAAGTGACTTATGTCTCTTTTTTCCCCCCCCACACTTAAGGAGCGTTGCAGCGAGCATCCCTTGGCAACTGACTCATATTTATGCCGGTTGCAATAAGGGGGTGGACTGCTGGGGCTTCGCAGGGGTTCGGGAGAGGCCCTAGCTAAGATTCTGTGCAGTTCAGTGAACCTCCAAATCCCACTCTTGGCTGGCCCCGCCCACCTCGCCCCTCCCAGGATTCCCCATGTGGCCCGTTTTGGATGCAGGTAAGTGCAGGGCGTGCGCGGAGGCTCGGGGAGGGCGAAAAACGGGCCTCCTGGAAGTTCGGGAAGGCTGGAAATGGGCCCGTTTCCGGCTTCCAGAGAGCCTCCGGAGCCCAAGGAGGCCGTTTTCGCCCTCCCAGAGGCTTGAGGAAAGCCTCAGGAGCCCGAGCAGGGCAACACCCCCGCTGTGATGCAGGAGGCCAGCTAGGCCACACCCACCATGGCCACGCCCACCCAGCAACCAGGCAGAGAACCCTTTGCTAAAATTTTTGAAGCCCACCCCTGGTTGCAATGTCCTAGGGCATCCAGAAGGCAATGCATGCCCCCCACACGCCCCCTAAGCATGTGTGCGCAATCCCCCCCACTCCCCCACCGCCCCCTTACCTGCACTGTGCCTCACAGCTGATTTTCAGCAGGTTTGAGGCCTTTTTCGGCCTCCCAGAGGCTTGAGGAAGGCTTCTGCAGGTTTTTCAGGCCGAAAACTAGGCCCGTTTCGTCACTTCCAGTATTTCTGGAAAAACAGGAAGTGACGTAACGGGCCTAGTTTTCGGCCTGCAGAAGCCTGCAGAAGCCTTCCTGAAGCCTCTGGGAGGCCGAAAAAGGCCTCAAACCTGCCGAAAATCATCTGTGAGGCGCGGGCATGCCCAGTGAGGTAAGTTTGCCTGCAGCTCGCATGCCGGCATCAATGGCTCTGCGTGCCACCTCAGGCATGCGTGCCATAGGTTCACCATCACGGTCCTTGGGTTACGTGATCCCCTTTTGTGACCTGTTGATGGACAAAGTCCATAGTTGTCCCAAAGGGTCTTTTTCACAAAGCAACTGGACTTTGTTTTCCTTGAAGACGTTTCGCTTCTCACTGAAGAAGCTTCTTCAGTTCTGATTGAATGTGGAGGATTTCTATTCCTTGCATTGGTCTGGTCGTTAGTACTCTTTTCTGAGAGTCGTTGAGGCCACTTGGAGGTTGGAGGGCACAGATAAGCCTCCAAGTGGCCTCAATGATTCTCAGAAAGAGTACTAACAACCAGATGACTGCAAGGAATATAAATCCTTCCGTCCTCTCCATTTGGTCAGAACTGAAGAAGCTTCTTGGATGAGAAGTGAACCGTCTTCAGGGAAAAATGAAGTCCAGTTGCCTTGTGAAAAAAATATGAATTTAAATATGAACAACTTGGCAAGTGTCTGAATTTTGATCATGTGACCAGGAGGAGTGTAAAAAAAGTCCCTTTTTTTTTAGTTCCATTGTTAACTTTGAACGGTCACTAAATGAATTGCTGTAAATTGAGGACTACCCGTATTCTGTTCTGAGATTTCTGAGGCATCCTTTCTCTCCTCCCCGGGCTTCATTTTGGGGTTATAACCCCCAAATATTCGCGTTCTGCTTTCTGTTCCCCAACCTGCAGGCTGATTACAAAATCAGAGATGCTCTTGGCAATCAGCCGTTGCACCGAGCTGCGATCACGGGACAGGACGATGGGCTTCGGTTCCTTGTGTCTGATCTTGGGGTTGAGGTCGACGAAGGCGCCACTGACCTCGGTCTCACTGCCCTGCATTACGCAGCAAAGGTACCTGCCCTTTTTCATTGGGATTTGGGGTGGCTTTATTTTATTGGTTGCCTTCATTTTTCTCCTGCCTTTTATTATTTTTACAAATAACTCGAGGAGGCGAACATAACCAACACATTTTCCTCCTCTTTTCCCCAAAACAACAACCTTGTGAGGTAGGTTGGCCTGGGAGAGAATGACTGGCCCAAAGTCATCCAGCTGGTTTGCATGCCTAAGGAGGGGTAGAACTTCCCGTCTCCTGGTGATTGGCTCAAAGTCCCCTAGTTGACTTTCAGGTCTAAGGTGGAACTAGAACTCTCGGTCTCCTGGTGATTGGCCCAAAGTCCCCTAGTTGACTTTCAGGTCTAAGGTGGAACTAGAACTCTCGGTCTCCTGGTGATTGGCCCAAAGTCCCC